ACCAACGTGGAAGAAGAAGAAGAAGAAGAATAGGAAAAACCGTGGCCATAGACTGCTTTTCGTACGCGCATCAACAGATTTACATTTCTTCTCCGCATGTACAGTTCTCAAAAAAAACGCGCAATTTCCCCGATGCGTTTCGGCCAGGCTGCGCTCCTGGCACTCCTCAGGGGGCTTCTTCCCAGATCCGCCTTGCGCCACCACCTGACTTTCCGACCAAGCAACCAACGTGGAAGAAAAAGAAGAAGAAGAAGAAGAGTGAAAACAGTGGCCATAGACTGCTTCTCACACACGCATCAACAGATTTACATTTCTTCTCCGCATGTACAGTTCTCAGAAAAAATGCGCAATTTCCCCAACGCATTTCGGCCAGGCTGCGCTCCTGGGACTCCTCAGGGGGCTTCTCCCCAGATCCGCCTTGCGGCACCACCAGACTTTCCGACCAAGCAACTGAGAAGAAGAAGAAGAAGAAGAAGAAGAAGAAGAAGAAGAAGAAGACGAAGACGAAGACGAAGACGAAGTAGAAGAAGAAGAAAAAGAAGAAAAAGAAAAAGAAGAAGAAGAAGAAAAAGAAGAATTGAATTGAAACAGCGAGGCCAATCGCTATGCATCCATGCATTCCTGATCAGCAATGAAGCACCAACACGGACATCGAGCTCAAACACGCACATTCCCCGACGTGTTTCGCCTGGCTGCGCACCAGGACTCATCAAGGGGCTACCACTCTCCCGCATCCACCAAACATACCACCCAGAGTAAAGGGGTCTTTCTGGCCTTGCCCTCTTGAGTTATACTGACGGCGACCAGCTCCTACGTCGAGGAGCTGCAACTGACTGTGCGGGTGTCACGTAGGCTTGCCCGTAACTGACTTGGCACACATGTCTGTAGATAGTCACCCGTCGACCTCACGTGTGTGCCTTCTGCCGCGCCAGGTAATCGATCTCACACGTGTCCTGGTCGACGGTCGCGGTCTCTAAGACGGAATGTACCGGGTCAGTTCCCCGTGTTAGGTACCAGCCCAACTCGACACCCCCTCCAGCCTACCGGTTCCGACTCTACAGGCCTCGGTGACCCTGGTCTCTTCCTAACATCTCCACGTCCACCTCGGCCCCTCCTGGTGCGTACGGCCTCATCTGTCCCGCTCCTCTTCTCTGCTCTGCGCCTAACTTTCCCGCTCACTTCGTCGCTGTCCCCGGTTGTAACTACCTGCTGGCACTGCTTCCGTCTTCGCCCGTTGTCACAGAGCCAGGCCTATTGTACAGCCAAATTCCTCTCCCAGGAATCTGGATCACCCTGCCTACGCGTACCATCCCACCCGATACTCTCTCCAGACCCTTAATGTACACCCGGGTACAGCCCGGGCCCTGTTCCCTTCCCTCTACAGTTCGATCCCAGCCTTCCCTGTAACCGAGCCCCTA